TTGATCAAATGTTCGACCGATTTTTAAAGATCATCAACGATCTCCATGTCCTTGGTAAAACATACTCGAACAAAGATCTTGTTCGAAAAATCCTTCGGAGCCTAACACCGGAATGGCGTTCAAAAGCCGATGCCATATATGAGTCGATTGGTAACACCAATGTCACCATCGATGGTCTTCGAGGTAATCTTAAAACTTATGAATCCACTATTCTTAAACCTTCTCTTGACAAGAGTCCCGGTCTCACTCTCAAAGCCTCATCCTCAAAAAGGGTAGAGGTAAGTGACTCTGGTAGCGATGACCATAATCCTTATTATAAGTTGCTCGAGAAGTTCCAAGAGTTTTTGAAGGAAGAACTTGGGTCCCGAGATTGTAAAAGAAAGGGGGAACCCGTTCCAACGTGCTTTGGTTGTGGAGAACTTGGCCACATAAAGCCATATTGCCCAAACCGCAAGGAAAAGAAAAAGAAGGAACGAGCATACATGGCATGGGATTCAGAAAGTTCTGGTGACGAAACTGCCACCTTATGTCTTATGGCTCATGAACGAAATGGAGAGGTAAGTGCTTCTAACTCTTTCTCATTTGAAGAATTACAAGAAGCCTTTCAAGAATTATTTGGTGAATTAAAGAAAACTTCAAAAATTGTCAAAGAGGCTAAGGCAAAAATTCATGCTTTGGAAGAGGAAAATAAATTTTTGGAAAATGATAATTTTGACCTCAAAAATAAAATTAAGGCAATGAATGAAGATTCTTTCTTTGACCAAAGTTCTACCTGTTCCTCATGTGAGTCTTTAAAAGTAGAGAATGTAGAACTTAAGAGCACCATTGAAAAAATTAAGGTAGAAGAGCCTAAGAAACTTTGTCAAGAAGTTAAGAATGTTAAACCACCTAGAAGAACTAATAATCGTAGGTATAACAAAATTAATTTTAGAAAGAATAAAAGTAACAAGGTGAGACAACCTAGAATTGACTCTAGGATTTTTACAAATGGTAGAAATATTTTGAGACAACCTAGAAATGAGTCTAGGAATTTAGTTAATAATTCTATGAATAATGATTTTAGATCACCTAGAAAGTTTTTGGCTGAACCTAGGCATATGCATAATCCAAACGTAGTATGCCATTATTGTTCTAAGATAGGACACATAGCTCCCGTTTGTTTTGCTAAACATAGGGACACTTCTTATAATTATGATTATGATTTTTATTTGCCTAACCTCCAAGGACCCAAAAGCTATTGGGTACCTCAATGGTATTACTAGGTGCACAAAAGGGTGTGCTTGAAGACTACAAACTTGTAGTGGATGCTCCAAGCACGAAACCCAATGAACCGCATCAAGGGGGAAGCTCGTTTTAGGACATTGTTGACAATTTATGCTCAAGGACATTTTCAAACATCGATGTTCAATATCAAACATCAATGTTCAAGGAGTATTTTTTTTACAATTTTTTAAGTGCTTTTTGCTAATGTCAAAAGGGGGAAGATATAAAGGTTATGCATAGATTGAGGGGGAACTTTCTCTAAGGCACAATTTTTTTAAAATATTAACTCTTGTTCAAAACATAAACCTTGTTGCATTTGTTAAGGGGAAACATCTCTCAAAAGGAAACAAGGAGGGAACTGATCGTCTTCACCGACCGGGACCTCCCAGCTACCTGCAAGGACCATAGTGATCCTTTGGTCATCACCATGGACATCAACGGGGTGGATGTCGCTCGGGTACTAGTTGACACCGGCAGTAGTGTCAACATTCTGTACTTGGAGACTTTCCAAAAACTCAGGTTGTGTCGGACACAACTTGAACCCCTGAAAACTCCTCTCTCAGGCTTCACGGGAGATACCGTGGAAGCTGAGGGATCCATAGTCCTCCCGGTCGAACTCGGATCGGGGGACAAAACCGTGTGGAAGAGGATGCGAGGGATCCATATCGGGGGACAAAACCGTGTGGAAGCTGAGGGATCCATATGAAATGCATCCACAACACAATCCTTGGAAGACCGGGTATCAACAAAGCCCGGGCGATCATCTCCATTCCTCACCTATGCATGAAGTTCCACACGCCAGGTGGTGTGGGAGAAGTGAAAGGCGACCAGAGGAATGCCCGTGAGTGTTATGCCCGGGCAGTGAAAGAAATGACGAAGGGGGTCAACGTCATCTCCCAAGAAATTACAAAGGGAGAGACCCGGGAGAAACTTGAGCCTGAAGCTGAGACAGTGGAGATCGAACTCCACCCGGGTGATCCTTCAAGGACAGTCAGAATTGGAGCAAATCTCCTAGAGGATCTCAAGGTAGAGATAACCCGGGTCCTCCAAGAGTACGCAAGCATATTTGCATGGAGCGTGGCAGATATGCCTGGGATTGACCGCTCAATCATCTGCCACCGGTTGGCATTGAGGGATGGAAGTCGACCGGTATGCCAGAGGAAGAGGTACCTTGCCAGCGACCGTCGAGATTTTGTCCAGAAGGAAGTAAAGGACCTCCTCAGCGTTGGTCACATCCGGGAAGTCAAAATACCCGGATTGGTTGGCCAACGTGGTCCTCGCCCCCAAAGGCGACACGTGGAGGATGTGTGTGGATTACACGGACTTGAACAAAGCTTGTCCGATGGATTCATACCCCCTGCCCAGTCCAAATCAAATGGTGGATGAAACTACGGGGTGCGAGCTCTTAAGTTTCATGGATGCCTTCAAAGGCTACCATAATATTTACATGGCTAAGGAAGATGAGGAGAAGACATCATTCCTCACACCCGAAGGTACCTATTGCTACCGGGTAATGGCCTTTGGTTTGAAGAACTCAAGAGCTATTTACCAGCGCATGGTAAACAAACTCTTCAAACCACTGCTAGGAAAAACCATGGAGGCATACGTCGACGACATGCTGATCAAAAGCCAGGTATCTCTCAACCACCCGGCTGATATGCGTGCGATTTTCGATATTATGGCAAGATACAACCTCCGGTTGAATCCATAGAAATGCGTCTTCGCGGTTTGTACCGAGAAGTTCTTGGGATTCATGGTGACCAAGAGAGGAATAGAGCCCAACCTAGAGAAAATTCGGGCTATCACCGGGATGCAAGCCCCTACCTCTGTTAGGGATGTACAAAAATTGACCGGTCATCTAGCGGCCCTAAGCCGGTTTCTCTCCCGGTCAGCTGAGAGATCCCTACCCTTCTTCAAAGTCCTGAAGAAGGCCAACACGTTTACATGGGACGAAGATTGCCAGAAGGCATTTGAAGAATTAAAGGAGTACCTAGTGTCGGATATTGTATTGTCAAAACCCGAACTGGGTGAAACTCTGTATCTATACCTAGGAATTTCCCCAAATGCTGAAAAATCCGTTTTAATAAGAGATGATGGGGCACAAAAGCCCATTTATTATGTGAGCAAGGCACTAAACGGAGCAGAAAGTAGATACACGACGATGGAAAAGATAGCATATGCACTTTTCATCTCCGCCAAGAAGTAAACATCATATTTCCAAGCTCGCCCAATTGATGTCTTGACTAACCAACCGCTGGGCACAGTATTGCGAAATTCAACATCCTCCGGGAGGATGGTGAAATGGGCAATGATGTTAACTCAATTTAACATTGAGTACCGGCCAAGATTAGCAATCAAAGGACAAGCTCTTGCAGATTTTCTGGTGGAAATGACTGGTCTAACTATAGATCTATCAATCAGCCAGCCCACTGAGCAATGGTGGGAGATGGCCGTGGATGGGGCATCTGGCCCTAAAGGATATGGAGGTGGCATAGTGTTTACAACCCCCGAAGGATTCAAGATCTACTATGCGCTCGTCTTCAACTTCAAATTAACCAATAATGAAGCAGAATATGAAGCTCTTGCAGGAGGACTTCGACTTTCCCAAGCACTTAAAATCAACCGGGTGAGTATAAAATCTGACTCTAGCCTGATTGTTGGGTAAGTGATCGGCAACATGGAAGCAAGGGAAGGATGAATGGCACAGTACAAGGATCTGGTGCTAGCCTTATTGAAAAGCTTTGCAGAATTCAAGATAGCGCAGATACCCCGGGCTGAAAACGCAGATGCAGACCTTCTCTCCAAATTGACACTAGATGCCCCCGAGCATGTTTCAAAACTTGTCCGGGTGGAAATTCTTGATCGTTCCAGCATCGAGAAGTTGGAAGTCGTCACTTTAGAAGCAGCAAAGCAATCTAACCGGTCAAACACAGTTGGGGTAGACGACCACTGGATGGATGATCTTCTGAAATATTTGACAGACGGAAGTAAAACTCAGGGCACCCCGTTTCCAAATCATTGACGGGATGTTGTATAAAAGGGGATTCGGAGGACCACTCTTGCGATGCCTGACCAACCGGGAAGCTGAGCGAGTAATAGCGGAAGTCCATGAAGGTGTGTTTGCGGCTCATCAAATGTCCCGTACTCTATCCCAGCGCATCATCTTATTGGGGTATTAGTGGCCAACAATTGTCCAAGATTGTGAAAGGTATGTTCAGAAATGCCGAACCTGCCAAGTATTCTATAAATACCCTGGTAGACCGGCGACCTACTATCACCCCGTATCGAATGTCATCCCATTCGCTAGATTCGGGGTTGATATCATTGGAGCATTCCCAATTGCCCAAGGAAAGAAGAAGTTTGTGATCGTGGCCATCGATTACTTCACCAAATGGATCGAAGCCAAAGCGTTGGCCAACATCACCATGCAACAATGCAAGAAGTTCATTTGGAAGAACATCATCACGAGATTTGGAGCTCCCATGAATCTCATCACCAAAAACGACCCGCAACTCAGAAATCCAAGGTTTACTGAATACTTGGAGGGCTTCGGAATCAAACACAATCGCTCTTCGGTGGCATACCCCCAAGGCAATGGTCAAGTTGAAAACGCCAACCGAACAATTGTGGATGGTTTGAAGAAACGGCTAGGGGAGGCATGAAACAAGTGGTTAGAAGAGCTTCCACACATCATATAGGCATTTCGAGTGACGCCTAGGAGGGCTCATGGGGAAACACCGTTTTCCCTAACCTATGGGTGTGAAGCAAGATTACCCATCGAAGTTGAATTCCCAACATTCCGGGAATCAAATTATCAACCCCAACAAAATGAAGAAGACCACTTAGCCGAACTCAACTTGGTTGAAGAACGAAGAATGGACGCGGAAGTAAAGATGAGCACGTACCAACAAGTCGTGAAAAAATACCATGACAACAAAGTTGGACCGCGATACTTCCAAGTCAGAGATGAGGTCTTACGAAGAAGGGAGGCCAGTAAACCGGGTGATGGAGGAAAGCTGGCCAAGAACTGGGAAGGACCTTATCGGGAGAAAGCTATAATTTGCTCGGGAACCTATTAGTTAGAAACTCTAGAGGGTTCACCGGTAGAAAGAAGTTGGAATTCTCATCATCTAAGAAAATTCTACAAATGATTGCAATACTAGGCAAGACCTATCTCTATTGTCAAGCAATCGGATTGAGGAAGTTCAATACTCTACCTGGTAGCAGCAAAAATGATAGGTCGAACCTATCCTAGGAGGGCTTCCCGGGAGGATCGAATCCATTCGGATGAGCCAACTAAGACACAGGCCCGGACCTGGCACGCTGGTTACTACACCGGTCTTGCTCAGTATAAAATAGAATTAAAAAAAATAAAAAAATAAACCCGGAAGAGGGGTATGCCTGCATGAAGGCTGGACTTAGAAGAAGGTTCGAACCGTACTTACACGGGCCCATGAGGTTTGACCGGTATCGGGGAATCAGCTGAGACTGTCAAATTGATTGGGGACTAAAAGATGCCCATAAAAAGAAATAGAAGAGGATTGTCCACCGTGATGCATCCTACTCCGACCGGTTCGGGTTCCCCCTTCTCAGGGAAGACTTGAACGGGAGGGTGAGCTAAGGCCTTCCCGGGATAGTAGAAATCAAAGGGCCATTAAAAGACTTAATCAGCCGGAAGAGGGGGCCCCGGAAGAAGGGTGCATTTGAACCTTAGAGATGGTTCGAAACCATTCGATATGCTTAAATCTCTAGTATTCTTACCGGTTAAGGAACTCCAAGAAATTACTAGGTTACAGGTGCATCCATCTACAACCTACCGGTGAAAGAAAAAGGAATACCCCGATTGGGTATTGATTCAACGAAACTTCGAAGGTTTTTCAAGGCAAATCAGTTAACCGGTCAGACCGTGAAGAGGAGACCTACCGATAAAACGGAAGTTGATCATCAGAAAATATGCAAAGTATAAGTTGAAGTTACACCGGCAGAAGCTAATCGGATCTAGGTGAAAGCTAAAGATTCAAAGAGTTGGTGGCATTTTGTACCAGTTAAACAAAAAGGCATTCGAAAGAGCAAAGATAACCGGGAGAAGAAACAAACATTGCGTTTAACCAAAATAAATGTTGATTATTATACAAATACACCGGGCATTCCCGGGGAAATTGAAGATATCCAAGTTTTAAATTACACCTGCGCAGCCGGGAAGATCTAATCTAAGGGGAAGGGGGGAGTAGGCTCTTCCTCAGGGATGGGGGCCAGGCCATAGGAGGCAGCGCTGAAGTCCGGGTCTCTTTTCAGCAAGACCCGGTGAGAAGCAATCCGGTCCTTCTTTTGACCACTCTTGAATCCGAACGATCCAATCGCGGTGATCATCTTCTTTCCTTCAGGCTCCCGGTATAGAAACCTGAAGGATTCCATGGTGGCCTCCGGAGTTGCGGTCATCACCCGGGCGGCTTCAGCCTTGTTCTCTTCAACCCAGGCAGCTGCAAGCCCAGGGAAGTCTTCTTCCTTCTTCGCCATTTCCCGCTTGGCTTCAGAAACCTCATCCAGCAGCTGGTCGTTCTCCTCCTTCAACCGGGTGTTCTCCACCCCCAAGGACCCGACCATCTTTGACAGCTTAGCCAACTCATCCGTCTGGCTCTTCAAGATGAGGGCCAGCTCCTCGTTCTTCTTCTTTAACCGGGCCACTTCGGTCAGAGAGTCCATCCCCAACTAGTCAGTAGTGATAGGCCCGATCTCCCCAACCTGCGCAACATACAACAAGCCGGTCAATCCTAAAATATGTAAGGTAAAGATAGAACCGGGTATGGGATACGACTTACCTCCCTCAGCCGCAGACCGAGGTTGATGTAGGCCTCCTCCACGGTCTGGTGGGCTACACCAGAGTTTGTCTTCTGCCTCTTGTTCATGGCAGAGGGATTGTTGGTGGCCGCCTTTTTCACCCGGCGACCGGTCTTCTCCTTGCCCTTGGAAGGGCTCTTCCCCTTCGACCGGGTGTCTAAGGGATCATCCTCATCAAGAATTTCCACGGTCTCTTGGTTTATCGAGAAAGTCATGGAGGGAGGAGCTTGAGAGCCACCGGTCTCTCCGGCTGGCTGGTCATTGGGAATCTCGAACTCTTCGAATTCCATACCTGCAAAATCAAAGAACGAAGTATCAGTAATAGGACCGGTACAAGGATAAAATACGAAATGAAGTAAAAAAAAGAGATACCTGGGTGAGAGGTGCCCTCAGCTTCCGCAGTGTTGCTCGGGGAGGGTACCCCATGCCCCGCTGCTTTATGCGCTTGGGAGGTACCCTCGCCACCCGGTTGGATTCTCCAGACCCAACTCCCATAGTGAAATTTCCTCTCGGTGAACGGATCACCGCGAAGAAGAATCTCGAGGCTCGCTTCAAGATCGGGGGAGGATGCTGGCACGGTATACTCTTGGTTGAGGAGATGATCGTTCCACTTTAGACTGGCCAGGGGAGTGACGAACGGGCGGAACTCAATAAATACAAACTTTTCCTTCCATCCCCGGTTACTTTGGGGGACGTCAGAAATAAACTTCCTAACAGTCTGCCCTTTGAAATAGGCAAAACCTTCACAGCCGGTTCCACCCGGTAGGACTTCAAAGCAAAAAAGGAAAAGACGAAGGGAAGGCTCGATGTGGAGGTGAGAACAGATATTTACGAAGGAATGCAAATAACGGTGCGCGTTAGGGGTTATTTGGCCAGGCAAAATCCTAAACGTGTGACAAACCTCAACTAGGAGGGGGCGAAGGGGAAATACAATGCCACCGTCCAAAGAAACAATGTGAAAACCTATCCTATTCTCCCGGTGGGGTTCAACTATGTTGGGCCAATAATTTTCGTATTGAAGGACGTACCCATCCAGAAGCTTTCTACGGACCTTATTTAAAGCGATTTTGGATACGTGGGAGGGAATGTCAAGAACATAGTAAGTGGGGAGTGGAAAGTAACCGGCAGTGCGAAGCCACTCTTCCCACTCCTCCCAGGACTCGGTGTCAGGGTCAGAGGGACCCGGTTAGTCATCAATCGGCTCGTCCCTCTCTGCGAAGACTTGACCGGGCACTTGATTAACCGGATCCGGCCTGGGAACAGAAGGCTTGGGAGCCGGTCTGGGTACTGATTCAGAAGAAGAATACCCGGTCAAAGAGGAGGAGGTAAAATCCTCAGATGAAGAGTCATCTGAGGACGAAATCCTACGACTACCTAGAGAAGACATAACTGGGAAAAGAATTGAAGAAGGGGAGGGGAGTTTATTTGACTCAGAGGGCTGAAAGGAGAGAGAAGGAAGCTTGGCCGGTGAAAGCTCTGGAGACTCAGGATGCAAAAAGTGAGAAGTAAATGGGGTTGAAGGTCTTTATATAGGAGGAGGGAAACAAAATCGAGCGACGTGGCCTATTGAGGTTGCGCCGCGTCAGGCGGTGCAATGATGGCGCATGGGAAGGCGAACGGGTAGGCTGACAACGCATCAGTGCAAAGGCGAGCGTCCAACACGTGTCAGAATTCAGAGTCTTCAGATTTTTTACTTCCCGCTCATGACAAATTTCATGACCGAGAAGTGGAGGGCTTATTGATGGGTGTATTCCACCCAGGACCGGTCAAAAGAGAGGACTAAATAGTCGACCAGTCAAGTGGATCGTACTAGAAAGGGAGATCTTAATCATAAGTAAAAAGAATCTCGATTGACCAAAACTTTTACCGGTACAATTCGGATAGTATACCAGTCAAAGGAGATTGGGCCGTAGCGAAAACAGAACCGGAACCGATTACCCGAACCAAAATATCTGAAACCGAAACCGAAATGATCTGAAAAATGAAGATCCGATCTATAACCGAAAACCCGAAATGATCTGAATCGAACCGATATTGAACAAAATAATTCATATCCGATTTAAATCTGAAACCGATTAGATCCGAAACCGATAATTAATATCCGAACCGATTAAACCTGGAACCGATTAGATCCGAAACCGATAAAACCCGAAACCGATTTGATACGAAACCGGTAATATTCGGACCCAATTAGAACTAAAACCGATAAATTCGGAACTGTGTTTGCCTTTCAATAAGCATACTCGGTATTATATTTTTAAAATTTTACTTTTATTTTACCACTTGAAATAATTACATTACTTGCTCATTCTCTCATAAATGGATTATATGATAAATTGTATGAAATAACTAGATTTTAAGCTAATTTCATCCGATTACAATAAATTTTATGGGTTTGAGAGTTAACTCTATTAGTTTCAAAATATTCACTCAATATTAGTCAATAGCATTAGCTGTTAGTATTAACATTTTGAAAAGACTCTAGCGGCAGCATTTAATGTTACCATTTTCAAATTTTATCTACACCATTACATCTAGGTGTAAAATTAATTATATTTGACCTTTTTAAATTTAATTTTATCTAATTTCAACCAAATATGCTCAAATAATTTATAAATTTTGCACTCAATCGAATAAAATTCACTTAGTTTCATCCAATTTCACTCATTTTTTACCAAATTGTATTCAAATGGAACATAACACTCTTTGAATTTATCTTTTATCTTTTTATTTATAAACATAAATATATTAGTAGATGTGAGAAAAATTTGATATATCAAACCTAAATTTTAAAATCAATTTAATTATATTAAATTTAGGTCATAATTAAATATATACTTTTTCATAATTTGTAGTCCAAATTTGTAAAATATGACTAAAGATTCAAAAAGAGAAGATTATTTAGGGTACAGATAATATAAATAGAAAAATATATAAAATAATATGCGGTATTCAACTGATGATAAATTGATAAATGTGATAAAACATATAAAGAAACATGGATAATTAAATTTTAATTAGAAAATAATATATATCCAAAATATATTTGATCCGAAGCCAAAATATATCTGAACCGAGCTAGATCCGAAACCGAAATATATCCAATTCAAATGGTATCCGAACCGAAATCTATCCGGACCGATTTATAACCGAACCTTATCTGAACTGACTCGAAACCGAACTGAACTGAAAAATGTGTAGAACCGAATCAAATCCGAACCGAAATTAAACCGATCTGAACTGAACCAATTAGAACATATATCCGAACCAAAAAAATCCAACACAAAACCGATTCGGTTGACCCAATTGCCACCTCTACATATACCTTCTCCAAAAATACGGATTCGCATTATTTTTAAGGATCGTGCTACAGGGCACCCACCATTGCATCCTTTGCTGCCTCTCTATTTAACCTGTTTTTTTACCTTTTCTCTTTCTTTTTTTTCTTTTTTTTCTTTTGTTCTTTCCTCTACGTTGCTGCCTGGCGTCTCTGCTCTTCCGCGCCAGCCAGCCGCACGACTCTCCTCTCCCTTTTCTGCGCTGTCCTTCCTACAAGGCAGGTAATATCTTCTTTTTCTTATCTTCCTCTTCATATCTCTGATGTGCCAACCCCTGTAGCACGACCATCCCTCTGTCAATCTCTTCTCATCATTCCATTTTTAGTCAATTTCTATAACAATTTTTTTTGAATTTTTGTGGAGTACATAGGGTATTTGGTGATTATGGACTTACAAACATGTATTTTTACACATGTTGAGAATGATCAACCACATGATTTTGGTGGTGAAGAAGAAGACCTGGTTTTATATGATTTGCAGCTCAGTTGTAAGTGTTGATATTTAGACCTCATTCTATATTCATTTGAATTAGTGAAAAAATACTGTTTTGTTTTGGTGTTACAGAGAATAAAGTTCTGTGAACCTAGGGTTTGTCCTTGTCACAAATGCTAATAATCTGTATGCACTCTACATTTGGTGTATTTTTGTTTTCTTCATAGTCAGGGATTGTACTATATTAAAGGTGCTGTTTTTTTGCAGAGAAAACCCCGAAACTGAAAGAAGGTAGAAAAAATGATAACCTACCTAATAAGAGGAAGAAAATGGATGCGTCTGAGATCTTTGCATCACAACGGCAGCATGCTTGGCCCGTGCAAGACGAAGACGGTGTTTACGACCTCACCTTGGGAGGTCTGGAGCTTGGCATTTCACTACATTGACTTTTAATTGTCCTTTTTTGGCATCAAATCTAGAACTTTGCTCTCATTTTTGGATTGAGCATGGGAACTATAAATCACATAACTTTTTGCTTTTTGTGTAAAGTATGTAACAAATATGATAACTTTCTTTGAGTTCCATGCACATAAACTGATGTAAACTTGATGTAACTCTGTTTTCACATACATTAAGTCTCTGTGAAGTGTGTGAAATAGACAGTTATTCCATGTGAGCCCGCTGAAATCTAATGTATGCGTTTTAACTTTCTTTTTACCTTTACAAGACCCCCACATATGTGATAAGATTATGAAGATGGTGTATGTACATAAAGTTATGTAACTCTGTCGTCACATACATTAAATCTCTGTGAAATGGATAAAATAGACAGTTATTCTCTGTGAGGGCTCTGAAAGTAAAACTGTAAATCAGTCATAAACTAATGTAAATCAGTCATCACATACATTAACACATTGTGCATTAGCAAGTACAAATTCATGATTATAAAAGCCCCATTACAAAGCTTTCAAAAAAGCCTAAAGTGTTTCCCCAAAAAATACATTATAAAGCACATAAACCATTACATAGAGTTTCACAAAAATTAAAGACCCCTAAAATTGTAAAGTAAAAATGCTAAATATTGGGTGTTTTCCTTCCACGCCATAACCTAGCTGCAAATTGACATCGGAAATCAGCCATGTGTTCAGAATTGCAGTCCGGGCTTAATGGTAAGGCTAGCAACAAATACTCTAAAAATGCTAGCACCATCACTCCACAATTGCCATACCTGCAAGGGAAAATAGTATTAAAATAAGTAGGGAGTATGATTTTCACCACTCCATGGGAGTACCATAACGAAGATCACGGAATAACTAACATCATTGCTTAACCATTTTTTCATGATCTATAAGATCACGGAAGAAGTCTCGATTGACGTGGCCAACACCTTTGGACTGTAGTTCAATTGTCGTGGGAAACAATTCACAGAAAGTAAGCAATAATAACAAGCAAACCTCTTTCACAGACAATAATGTTATATGAAGTTCAATAAACAGAAGTTAATCGTCTATGAGATACAATTCACAGAAAGCAAGCAAAAATAACAAGCAGACCTCTTTTACAGACAATAATGTTATATGAAGTTCAAATAACAGAACTTAACCATCTATGCCATACAATTCACACAGTAAGCAGAAATAACAAGCAAACCTATTTCACAAACAATAATCTTATATGAAGTTCAAATAATAGAAGTTAATCATCTATATCATTCAAAACAAAACCTCTTTTATGTTTGAATGGGTTTTATAACAATTTTAGAAACATTTAGATCATTCAAAGAAACTGGGAATACCTAGTTTCAATGAAAAAGAACATCAAACTGAAACTGCATTATGGAGATTTGAAATTACACAAACATACCATTATCAATTCCACAACTACATTAGCGCCAGTACCTGTTTGGGCTTACGCAGGTCTGCCGGTGCTGGAGCTGGAGGGGTGGGGCTGCCGACCCTAGAGCTGGAGGGGTGGGGCTGCCAGCGCTGGAGCTGGAGGGGTGGGGCTGCTGGCGCTGGAGCTGGAGGGCTGGACTACCGTAGACTTCCTCGCAGATGCCGGCTTCGAGATTGGCCAACCGCAGACCTGCGCTGGAGCTGGAGGAGTGGCATTGCCGGTAGGGGTGTTCAATCGGATCGATCCGATCCGAAAATTCGGATATCCGAAAATTTCGGATCACGTAAAACTCATTCCATATCCGATCCGAAAATATTCGGATATCCGAAATTCGGATATCCGATTTTTCGGATCGGATCACTGGATTATCCGAAAAGTTGAGTTTTTAGCCAAAATTTACAAAAAAAAAGGTAAAATAGCAAAATCAACTCAAAATATCAAATTCAATATAGATTTACTAAAAGAAAAATTCCACCTCTAGGTAATGGCCTAATAAAAAAAATGATACCAAATTTAATTTGGGAGTAACTTTGGTAATTTTTCCTAAACAAACAAAAAAAACACTATTAAAACAAAAGATTCTAAAATGCTAATGTAAAAAGTCCAAAATGGTTGAGTTCCAAAATCAACATAAAATTACATTTAAACAAATAGTCATAATATATATCCATAAAATTCCAAAAACATATAGCAAAAAAAATCGGATATCCGATTATCCGAAAAATTCTAGAAATTGAATCCATATCCGATCCGATGTTTTTCGGGTATCCGATCTGAAATATCCGAAAGCTAAAATATTGGATCGGATATCCATTTTTCGGATCGGATCGGCCCGGATCGTGGACGGATATTTCGGATCGGATATTTTTGAACACCCCTAACTGCCGGCGCTGCTATGCTCTCGACGGAGAAGAAGGGCATTGAATTGGAGTTGTCCGAATTCTGGAGCTTGTGGAGGTTGAAGGGGGAGAAGGGAGATTTGGGAATTTTGGCCGTGGGAGACGAAAAGCCTAAAAAAAGGAAAATTGAAAAAAAATAAAATTTAAATATATTGGGTGGCATGCTTGGAGACACACATGGTGCTTCTTTAGCATTTTTCTATTTTTAATCGCCTTTAGGTCTGGAATTGAAATTTACTATAGGAGGGTTGGCTCACCGACGACGAGGAGTCCCACTTCCATTTCATCGATTTGCCCGCCTTTTTCCGTTCATTCTTTTCTCCCCTTAAACCCTCCATTCTCTCCGTCTCAGCCGCCGCGCATCTTACAATGAAGCTCTCACCCGTTTCTCTCCGCCACCAATTCCTCTTCGGAACCACCGCCGACCCTACTTCCCGCCCCTCCGTTTCCAGACCCGCCTCCATAGCTCGGCCATCCCGCGTTCGCATGTCGCTTCGTGAAGATGCCCCCTCCGTTGCAATCGTCGGCGTCACGGGCGCCGTTGGTCAGGAGTTCCTCTCCGTCATCTCCGATCGCGACTTCCCGTACAGATCCCTCAAGCTCCTCGCCAGCAAGCGCTCGGCGGGTAGGAGCCTAACCTTTGAGGGCAGGCAGTATACTGTTGAAGAGCTAACCGAAGACAGCTTCCAAGGTGTTGACATTGCCCTGTTCAGCGCTGGTGGGTCTATCAGCAAGAAGTATGGCCCAATTGCGGCTCAGAATGGGACTGTTGTTGTGGATAACAGCTCTGCTTTTAGGATGGAAGAGGGTGTACCGCTTGTGATCCCGGAGGTTAATGCAGAGGCCATGGCGCATATCAAGATTGGATCTGGGAAGGGAGCGATAATTGCCAACCCCAATTGTTCCACTATCATTTGCTTAATGGCTGCTACACCCCTTCATCTCCGAGCTAAGGTTAGACTTATGATGTAGTGTACAGTCTGTAAAATTACAGTATAAGGTTTTCTATGTTGTCTTCTTACATTCTAAGATATATGCTTATATTTCTTCGTACATTCTGCCGATTGATGTTGGTTCTCGGTCATTTTTGGGTATTATGGTGAAGTTAAATTTAAAAAGAATACAGATATTACTTGTATACTCTCTTCTTATTTATTGGATATTCTGAATTCACCTTTTTGTTTCCACATATAAATTTGCTAACATTAATGCTCTTTTTGGATAGAAATGAACCTAGGCGAATCTAGTTGAATAATATGGAGTATGATACACTCCGTTTGAAGACTCCTTTCGTCTTATGTTTTGGAAACCATTAGTTCAACTTCTTAGGGCATTAGATGATAAGAACAATGGAAAAGTACATCCACACATACCACCTACTTATAATCTTAGAGTGTCCACTTCCTCTGATTGAGGATTATCAATTATTTAGGCTTAAAATCCATGGATATCTCATCATGCAAGGGAGAACACGTGTCAGTTGTCAAACTGGACATAAACGATAAACTGGATGCACAGGTTTCCCCTTGCGCGGGATCTCCATGACCCCATCAGTTCCAAAATTTCAAACATAAATCGTTTCCAATCCTACGAAGTACAAAATCTTTGTAAGTAAGTGATATGCGTGTACGCATTTTTTATTTTAATTTTCATAATTTCATGTCAGGAATTTCGGGTGACTCGTCATTTAAAAATTTAGTTCTAACTAGTCTAACTAGGTGCTAGTAACGAAAATGGTAAGGTATAAAGATCAGCTCAATGGCTTACCTTTAAAAAGGTGAGGTTAATAATGTCCAATATCCGAAAATGTTGGATTAATGATGTTCAAAAATCATATTATTAACATAACTTAGGCCAGGTTAATCATCCATCTGAATTCACCCAATTCACTTTGTGTTCGTTACCAAGATGTATGAAGTCAGAGACTCAGGGCAATGTATTATGTAATTTATTCAATCTAATATGCCTTTTACCCAAACAAGGTTAGAACAGAATTCACCTAGGTAGAGCTAATATTATCCAAACAACTTATGGTACTCAGGTAAATAAATTTCTTCTTTAAAGGATTTGTTTACTGTTTCCTTTCATAGTTCTCTACAACTATACAAGGTAATATATGCACGACTCTATGGTTTTTATTGATAGTAGTGTGGTTAAGACTTTGTTCCTTCATATATGTAGATGATATAGTACGTCCACTTAAGTTTCACATATAAGGATCACCTAGAAAGTTTACGTGTTTCTTCCTACCTATGGTTTTGTAAATGCTGAAGAGTGGAGACACTTCTTTAGCCACAATGTGTGTTTGTATGAAGTTGAAGTTTGTAGCTGTTTTAGTATATGGATTTCTTATGAAATCCTTCAAGGTGTTTGTAGACCTTCAAGATAATAAAATTATTGTGGGATTTTCTTTGGTTTGTTTTTTTTTTGTGGAAAAAATATGCAGAGCATTGAATCTTATGTGTGCAAGGATGAGGTTTCTTTTTACCCTTTCTATGGCCAGACTGTAATTGACTTATTGTAAAGACTCATTTGCCTGACTAAAGCGGATCGTTCTCTTAGTAGGAGTTACTCTTGTTCTATGCTTGGAGCATGATCTCTGCTTTTAAACTTGTAGACTGCTTTTTCTGTTTTGACATAAGTGTTCAGCCAACCATCACACTTTGATGTTTTTTTTTTGAAATTAATAAATGATTGATATACTTATCATCGATTTCCTGAGAAGGGATAAATTGATAAAAGAATATCATTTTAATGCGCCTGTTCCTCATTTTGTTACAGGTTAAACGTATGGTTGTTAGCACTTACCAGGCTGCCAGTGGTGCTGGTGCTGCAGCAATGGAAGAGCTTGTTCAGCAAACTCGCGAGGTTTCTTGTCATCTTGCTTCTACTTTCCCATTATATTTGCAGTATATTTTGAAGAAATTCTCCATTTTGAATTGGCATCTTTCAAGTTGGTTCTGAGTGCTTGCTCTATCTAAAATAGGTGCTTGAAGGGAAAGAACCAACCTGTAACATCTTCAAGCAGCAGGTGTGTAAGATTTCTTTA